GATGGCCTGTGGAGTAACATTTATTAGAAGCGATACCACATTTTTCTTTAACAAATGAAAAGTAGAATTCATTATTCCTGAAATATACTCACATGTACTTTAGTTTTGCTGCTACAGCCTCATTTGTTCTGGTGTAATGTGCAGCCTGTGGTGACTATTGTAACAGTAGTGAGTTTATTCCCTGCCTTTATATATAACCTTTCCATACTCCTGCCATTGTTATGTTTTAATGTGCCTCCATGTTGGCACAGGGAAGCCAACACATGGTCTTATATCTATAATAAAAAAGAAAAGAAGCTCTGACTGAATTTTCCACCACGTTCCCAGCTGTGTGGTTTATGACAAAAAAAAAGTCACCTAATAGTTATCTTAATAGCTTAAAAATGAACACATTTGACTGGTTACTTGGCTACTGGAGGTCAAAAATGACAACTGAACAGGCTTCGGGGGCTTGTGTTTATTTAATTAAAAAAAAAAACAATTTTATAAAAGTATAATGTAGCCAGTGTGACAATATCCATAGGTTTTGTCTATATTTTAGGTTTAGGTTTTAAGGTTTTAAGTTCAAAGTTAATGCTAAGTTATTAGGTAATGCTAGCAAGTTTCGAGAGTTTCATTCATGTGGGTTTCCTTAGTGCTAAGGCAACAGGCTAATAATGGTTCAGTCACACTAAAGTTAAATCTGCGGCCTCTGAAACTGGGAAAAATTGCATTGTAGTTACAGCAATTAGTTGGGGGCTGCAAATCTCTCAAGTCCCGCCCACTTTCATTGTTCAGGTCACCTGGGAAATGCGTCTCCAAACAGCTGCAGTCCAACTGATTGCACTTACGTGTATATTACGCCACCCAACACGTTCCTATATTACAAGTTTGGAAAAATGAGGAAACATGAGAACTGTTTGGAATCAATCTACACATGTACGTTTATTTTACTTAAATCGCTTTGGAAAACACTAACTAAGGTTAAGGTACGGTTATGGTTATAATTGGGGATAAGATTAGGGTTAGGGCTGGAATACACGGCTGGAACGTGTGTTACCGCAGGAGCGTCATCCTATTCGATTTCATGCTCAATGCGGCGCGTAGCATAGGAGCGTGGGTGGTCACCTTTCCAATGGAACGCCTCGGGATGTGAGAAATCGTCGGTATATTACGCGTCGGGAGTGAGAACGGGCTTCACTTCCAGGTACTCCGAAGGTTTGCAAACCTTTGTAAAGGAATAACATTTTGCCAACAGCTTTCATCAATCTGAGTCTAAACCTGGTTTGCAGCTGGTTGTATTCTGGTTATATTGGTATTGTTACACCACCACCCTGCACCATCCAAGCGTGACACCAGTTTTACACTGAAAGCAGACCGACTCCACCTAATTGCTGTTTTATCGCCATCTTGATGAACCAGAGTCACTTCACAGTAACTGACTGTGTGGTTGCAGACCTGGTCCACATCTTCAGAGCGATGTTGTTTCAAACACAACAACATCTCAAGTTCACTGGTTCCAGTGATTTTTCTCATGGTCTCGAACCACAGTTCATCCTAGTGTGACTGTAGTATAAAATAAGAAAGAAAGAAAGAGTACTTTATTGATCCCCGTGGGGAAATTCCTGCATTTAACCCATTCACTCAGTGAGGCAGTGGGCAGCCATTGGGCGCCCGGGGAGCAGTGTGTGGGGACGGTACCTTGCTCAGGGGTACCTCAGGGTAGCTGTTCAGGAGAATCGAACCCCCGACCTTCCGATCGTGGGGCCACCACTCTGCCTACTGAGCTATCCCTGCCCCCCCCAATATACTATCACCAAAATACTATCACCAAAATACTAGTAAATACTAGGAAACCTGCAGCAAACGCTTCAGGGTTTGGCTCTACCACCATGTACATCATCACTGATGAAGGCTTACATGATGATACTAATCCTGCTTTTATATTGTATCTACTGTACAATATAAAGGGCCTTGAGGTGACTTTTGTTGTGATTTGGCGCTATATAAATAGAATTGAATTGAATTGAATAGAAGATATAACCTTTGTTCCTTATGAATGTTTATTTATTCCAACATCAAAATCATTTTTATTTCTTCTGTTGTTTGAAGCTACAGTTCAGGACGTCACATGTAAATAGTTTGTAGGCAAACAGATGATAACTGTACTTTGACTTTTTTATGCTATGCCTTTATGAACTCTACATTATTCTTTTTAATATTTACCTATTTACCTGGTAGCTTTGTTATAGATAAGATGTAACATAAAAAA